AGATAGATAGATAGATAGATAGATAGATAGATAGATAGATAGATAGATCGACGGATAGATAGATAAATGGATAGATAGATAGATGGATAGATAGATAGATAGATAGATAGATAGATAGATAGATAGATAGATAGATAGATCGACGGATAGATAGATAAATGGATAGATAGATAGATGGATAGATAGATAGATAGATAGATAGATAGATAGATAGATAGATAGATAGATAGATAGATAGATAAACATTATCAAGTACTAAATTGAATACTGCATTTATGTATTTTATATTCCATTTGTGTGTGTATATATTTAATACATCATTTAATTTGAATTAAAATCAAGTACTAAATTGAATACTGCATTTATGTATTTTATATTCCATTTGTGTGTGTATATATTTAATACATCATTTAATTTGAATTAAAATTTAGGATGTGTATATACTTAAATTGTAAATAAAAATGATGATCATAAATTCTACATTATTAGTTGCTAAATTGAATATCATATTTTTATTGTTTTTAATTGATTAGTTGATTATGTTTTCATCATAAAATTGCTGATTTTTTTGTGTTTATAATTAATCACTTAATTGTTTTTTTGTATTTATTTATTTTTTTTACTACGTTTGCAGCGATGTCATATCCGGAGGTTGCATACAGCAGAAAGGCAGTTTCACTGTTGACAAGCTCTCATTGTGTCTGCTTGCAATTACTGACTGGTGAAATAGTTCATTTGACATTCAAAATAGCAGGTTTAAAAAATTGTGTGATTAAAATACTCTCTCTTTCTGTAGATAATGGCTCCTGTCCTAACCAACTCCAACCCTGTAGTGTTTAGTGGCGCTGGAGTTTCAGAGTCAGATGTGTTGGCTTTGTCTGACCCACTTGCTATAAATAAAAGTCGAACAGCAATTCAACACGGCGAAAAAGATCCAGTGAACAATAGCGCGAAGTTGCTACTCTTTGTCCCTATAGATTAAATGAGTGACAGAGATAACACAGCACTCGCAAACAGTGATTATAGAAAGCTCTAGCCTCAAATCGAGCCGTTAATGGATGAAGTGTTGTTGTTTTGACACTGAATCGCAATGAATGTGTTGTAAAATCCAATTTCGCGTAGGTCAGATGTTTTAGTCATCGTATATGAATACAAATCTCTTTGATGCTTCAATTGTTTCTTCTAGACGGCGATTAGTTTAGAAGATCAAATGGAGGCTTTGCTGAACTTGAGATTGTTCATCTAAGAAAAAGATGCCTGCAATCTCATGTTTGTCTCCTCTAGAATCTCAGAAGAGATCTCAAACTGCTCTCAGAAATCTGCTATCAAGGTGAAATATGAAACATTTCTCATCAAGTTTTCCTTCTTACTATGTGTCAATAACACTCTCATTTTTCTCCTAAGGTTATTCAGGAGAAATGTTCTCCTGCAGAGTGTGTCCTGAAATATTCTCAAATGAAACACATCTGAGAATTCCTAAACAATGACATTTGCAAAATATATATATTTGCAGACATTTTCTGTTGAAGCTATATTTTAAATCTAAGTGTTATGCATCCAGTAGTCATCTAGCTTCTCGTTTGAATCTCTAATGGTGACTAATAAATTCAGGATTGCTTATATTGAGCAGAAGTGCATGTATGCCGTACAATTAACTTTCACTAGAGGACGAAGTGGCCCAGTGCTCTTCACGTCAGGTGCTTTCCTCTTGTACTCACATTCATTACATGTTTTATTGCTCAGACAACGTCCCCGGACAACACTCTATCACTCGCAGAGGGTAATAGCTTTTTTCGCCGGTGTAATTTCATTGATCAGCCACTTCCTCTTTTTTTCACCTTGAGGAATGGCTGCTGTGGTGAAAAAGCCAACAGTGATCAGAAGACGTATGCATCTAACTTAGTTTGTTATGAAAATAAAAAATAAAAAAAATAGGGTATAATGCAGTTCCACACTAAAAACAATATATATATATATAAGATAGATGGATGGATGGATGGATAGATTATATGTATATGTATATGTAAATGTATATGTATATATACACACACACACACACACTGCACTATATCAAGTTCATTGTATCAAGTTTAAGTTCACATAAATTGAAAATTTTAAATACATGTATATATATATTTTTTTTTAATGTTCTATAAGAGTTTGGGCCTATTAAATGGTAAAAATTATGGCTTTTAATTTCACTGTAATGTTTACTGCTTATATTTACAAATTTTATCATCAGATTTTGGGAATTAATCCATTTAATACAGGCATCAGAATCAGTATTGTTATCGGTACTTTCATTCATAGTACTAAAAAGATGCTATTAAACAAACATTTTAAATATACGTGAAAATATATTTATGAATACAAATTAATGTTAGGTGTTAAAAATCGAGATCATTTTGTAATTGACAGCACTAATATATATATTATATATAATAATATTAAATAGTAATAAAATAATATTAATATTAATAAAATAGGATTTTTTCTTATTTTGATTCTTTTTTCTTATTACTGTCATAATAGTTCATATACCAATAGTGTGGAATCTTAAATATTTCTTAATTTTATGTCGTTTTTTTTAAGTGTTTCGAAAATGTTTGCTTTTGTGTTTATTTCTTAGTTTTAAAAAAAACATCTTTACAATGTGGTCTCACACTTTTGGACCCTTACTGTGTATTGGAGTGTATATAGTGCAGAAAACGGTCCTTTTAACACAAAGCATAAGCATAACAGTTTGATGTCAATTTAACTGTCTAACTGGCTCATTGACAGCGTTTTGGCAGAAATGAGAGGTTGCTGTGTTTCAGTGGGCTTCAGAATGAGTTCAGGTTTGGGTGGGCGAGCAGGAGGTGTAGCTCCACATATTAGGTGCATTTCTTACCGAGTCGTTTCTCCGACACGCTTCATTTGCGTTCCAGTCCATCCTCCCCGTGAAGGACTGTCTGCAAACCTGAAACCTGAGATAGAGAGAATTATAATAACCGGCAGTTCTGGCAGTGGTCCACTCACCCGCACACACCCACAATAGTGCTGTGAAAACTAGATTCCCCCTGAGCTGGAACTCCCACCTCTTTTACATCGACCCCTCACCAGTGATACAGCTGACATCTGCCCTGAATGAATGCAGCACTGGCAGCCTGTTTAACCACGTAACCACCATAACCGCCTCATCACAAATCATGCATATTATCACTTACATGTTTGGCAACATGCCTTTCCACATGGAAATGTATAGCTGAGAGGTTGGTTTTCACAGCTCATGAGAATTAAACTCATATTCCACTCGCTCCTTCAGAAATGGAAAAAATCTGTCATCAACTGTCTTTTTTCCCCTAAAAAGTCTTAAGGGTTATCTGTGTAATTACAAAGTTACATTGTAGTTTTATCATGTTCGTTATTATTTGTAGCAAATTAATTGTAGTAGAATTTTTTTAAGAAAACTTATTACATGATAATATAGTAAATGAAAATAAACATATTTTTCCAAATTAAAAAAATGCACACAAAATATTTTGTTTCAAATAAAATGTCAATGTGTTGAAAGCAGTGAAAATGATTTTAAAAAATGACATTAATCAGTGTTATTATAGAATTATTTATATACTATAATGGTTTTATTAATATTTTATTAATTGTACTTTTATATTTTCATTTCTTTTTTGTAAAGTGCTTTTGTTATTATTTTAATATAATATTTAGGTTTCATTTTTATTTTTTTTCAGTTTTTGTTTTATTTTAGCTTTAATTTTGATTTATTTCCACATAGTAAGTGCTTCACCTTAAATGAAAAACATTGCCATGGTGACTAACTAATACGTTTCAATTTACCATATTATATTTAACATTTTATTTTAACTTTATTTCAATTATCTTTTTTTTTATATATATATAATTTTTTGATTTTTAGTTTTTGATTATAACCCTGCTGCAGAGTTTTTATTTTTTCATTTATTCAATTTGTTGTTAGCAATGAATTACTGAGCCAATACATAAAAAGCCAGTACATGGTTTTTTCCACCGAGCAGACATTATCGATTTTAATTCAGAGCTGTCAAGTTTGATTCGGCTAGCAATGTCATGTTTCAACAACAGACGGAGATAGAGAGGTCAAAATTATGTAGTGTACCTTTAAGAGAAATACAGTAAGAAAGCCATCAAATTAATGTGGATAGCAGCTCAGATCATCTGATCTTGGAAAAATTTGATGAGCAATGTTTGACTTCATACTGAGATCATAACATCTGTTTGCAGGCCTATCTTGGCATATCTGAATACAAATTGAGTCACTGTTGAAATCTCGGGCTAGTTACTGGGGTCTTTTTCTCAAAATTTTAGAAAGAGAAATACAAGTGTTGCTCTATTTGCTCTACATTGCTGTCAATGACAAACTGGCTATCGGGTAACTTTGCAGTAAGGAACTTGTTTAATTGTTCTGAAACTCTTTCTCGTTCCTCCAGATGAGTCCGGTGTGACCCCTCCACCCAGCGTCGCTCCAGTGATGCAGGTCCCAGCCCCCAAAGAAACCCCCAGAGGAGTTGCATCCATGGGGCAGGACTTCATAGAGTCGGTCCTGTCTCGTAAGGATCATCTTCTGGCTCAGAAGGGTGTGACTCTTCCCAGCGGTTTACCCCCTAATCTAGTGCCCATGTTGGGGAAGGGTCTGGGGGCCAGAGCAGAGGCCCTGTCCCCCGACCAGCCCCTCCTGAGAAAGATGCTCCCCTCACACAGCGCCTCTTTACCTCCAGCCTACGAGCTCCCCACCGAACCCCCGGAGGCCGTCGCAACGCCGAGCTGGGATACAGATGCTCCGACCCCACATCCCAAACCTTCAGGCTCCGCTGCGGCCCCCACAACTGTGAGCGCTGAAACAGCGCCTGGGGCTTTCACCTCAGGTAAGACCGAGAGTTTTACAGAAACCTAGTAGAAAACTAATAGATATTCCTCATGCTGCTGTGCATTTACACATAGATGACCTCACTAGCTCTCACTGAAAGTTAATGACTTCTGAGTGCTTTGTTACTTTTTATTGCAAATTTTCTGATATTGTGTTAAAAAAACACCAAATGGAACACCACATCACCCAATGATGTGAATAAAATATCCAAAATGAGTATTCAAAAAACTTGGTGGATAATTTTCAGTAAAAAGACATGCACATTAAAAAAAAAGTAATGTCACTGTGCTTAAAGTCATGTGACTAAATAATTGGCACAGATGCATTATTGCTAATTAAAACTATTAAAATTGTTTTTGTTCATTGCAATAATGCTGAAATAACACAATATATAAATATTAGTTGAAAAACTTAAACGGAAATTAGAAATGTTTTGGCAACAAACTGAAATAAAATAAGTTGAAGTACTAAAATTACTAAAACGAAAACCGAAATAAAAATAAAGATCAATAGAAATATTAAAAACCAAAACTGAATAAAAATGTAAAAGCATATAACAAAATGAATAAACTTAAACAAAATTTTAAATGAAAACTGAAAATATAAAAAATATATGTTTAAATAAAACATGAAAAAGTTATTTTGAAAAGTTAATTGGAAATGTTAATAAATATTATAATAGTGTACAAATAATACTAAATTATTAATAATACTAATACTAGAGCATTTAGTCTAATTAATAATAATCTATCATAATTATTACGCCAATGTCTGTTTGTACCAAGTGCAATGGCTATTTTCACTAACTCAGATATTTTATTTTTATTACTAATAATATCATATTATAAGACACTTTGCATTCATAGCTTCTGTCACGGTTTACATTAGTGTGAACAAAATATTTATTGCTACTTACACTTTGTGCAAACAGCATCTAGCTTTATTTACTCTAAGTATAAATAGCATCTACCATTAACTTAGCATGCACTTAGCATAAATAGATGTAAAAGAGCAATTTGCAACAATTTCCCCCAGAAGCGCTGATTTTGATTTTGGTGTCCTCAACTAGCCTCACTATGAAACCATGCTTGTTGAGCAGTTCACACAAGTTTTGCTTGCTTATGCAAGATCCATGCCAAACTTTAACTATCCAGTATAAACTGTCCTGAACCAGCATGGAAATTGGAGCTGGGTCATTCCATGTCAACTCAACCAGAGGTCCCCGGCTCAAATTTTTGATTTTGTAAAAAAAATTCTGAAGAAATATAAACATGTACAGTGATGAAAGCCAAAATATTAAATGTCATCAATGTATATTTATTGAGTAATCCACTATTTTGTAGAGGAGTGCAAAAATGGCCATTTTCACCTGAGATTCCGAGCCAAATTACAGGGGGATAGAAAATATTTTAGAAAGCTGGCAGCATCATTATTTTATTTTTACACAGAGATTGGTAGCTCTATTAGTAAAATGTGTTGACTTTAGCAGTCTTTGTTACATTATATGCCAATGGTGATAGTTCAAAAATGGCAAAAAGCTCTTGTGTTTTTTGCCTCAAATTTGCATGCCTGTAACTCAATAAGTATTAAAGATATCTCAATATCCTTTTAGATTCTGGTTCTTAACAAACTTTCCTTGTGGTATCTTCATTTTAAAGGCCCTCAATGATTCAGTCCCTGAGATATGGAGATCTTGATTCGGATCCATGAGTAAATTGATCACATTTTCAGAGGTCAAAAACCAAATGTGGGTCATTTTGCATACAGCTGATACTTTTTTTGTTTTAAAGAGGAATGTCTGAAGAATAAATCATGTTCAAATTTTTTCCTTTCAGCTCAATTGCATAAACATACCTGTCTTGAGTGCCATAAATATAATTTTTCTAAAGTTGTCATGCGTGTAACTCTAAAAGATGTCTTAAAATCCTTCTAGATTCTCATTCTTAATGAACGTTTCTTTTGAAATCTACAAAATAGTGGATTACTCAGTAAATATACATCGATGACATTTAATGTTTTGGCTTTCATCACTATACATGTTTATCATTCTACAGAAAAATATGAACAAAATTTTTAAAAAAAAATGGAGCTGGGGAAGTTTCTGAAATTTGCTTGATTTGACACGGAATGACCCAGCTAGCAAGCAAGCATTTCCAGCAGGGAAATACACAGCTACAGCTACATGATGTAGATGTTTTTCCTCACTGTTGTTTTCCATCTCAAATCCCCTCTGTAGACATTCTCAGACGAATGCTTGGGTTTTTAATGTCGTCTGTCTGGCATTTTCCTCCAGCTGTAACGAACTGCAGGGTCAATTTCAGCGACCCAGAGGGCTACATCGATTCTTCAGACGATCCGCCCCTCCCTGAAGGAGCGTTCCTGCAGTGCACTTACACAGTGACCGTCTACACAGGCTACGGTGTGGAGCTACAGGTACCTTTTAATATGAGCTTTGAGTATTGCTTCCATTAATCATATTTTCCTCCACCTCGAAATGATATGACAAACTGCACTGGATATTCTTGACTGAATGGGCACCTGTTAATGCATGGATCTCTTTAAATGACATGCTAATAGACTGTGTAATCCAACAAATAAGCAGCTGCAGAACACCGACCACAGCATGTGGCCCCGAGGGAGTTATCTGGAAATGCAATCTGCTGCCTAACAAGCATTTTTTTTTCTTCCCTGCAATGCAATCCTATTTCCCCTGTGCCCAGCACATTTTCTGGACACCCTCGGATACAGGTGACTACGCTTAACAACCCTGCGTCCAGTCGAACGTGCCCTCTAGTGGCACGTGGTGTAATTGCACGGATCTAATTACTGGAGTCGAGCGTTTGGGGCCGAGAGCCAGAGCCACACAAGCAGATGTTAATGAGAGAAACGGGGGTTCGTCGGAGCCGTACTGCTGCAATGCCCGCATGCAGCCAGCTCTAATCCCGTGTCCACGTCCGCTGTCCCTCTGCAGATGATTCATGCCTGTGACATAATCTCTAATTACCGCTTTAATCCACAGCCAGAGGCCTGCTGAGTGTGTGTGTGTGTGTGTGTGTTAAATATTCTGTCTCAAGGGATTTAAACTCTTCCAATTAATTTGGTATGTATACACACACACACACTGTCCTCATGGGATCGGATGAGATACGGATAATCCATGCTGGCTGTGATATGCTTTAAAGTCAACATGAAATCAAAATGCACTCTTTTTACTTAATGCATTTTCCATCTGTTGTTCACAATTTATTGGTGCATGTTATTTCAAGTAAAATAAAAAATGTTTAATGCATCAAAGTGTATTAAATCTCTCTGAAATTATTTAATCAAATATTATTTTTCTATGAAAATGTAACACCAATGACACATTTAAATGAACCATATGAAAAATATATATGTAAATGAATTACTTTTTTTTTTTTTAACTATTTAAAACCTTTGGCCTTTGAAACCTTTTATATTTTCAGAATAAAAGTGTCTAACATTGATACTAATGACAATTTTGACACTATATATAATTAAGCATCGTTTTAAATATGTTTTAAAATAAATGTGTGTGTAGAATTTTTTATATCTTTATTAAAATATTAAAAATGTACAGTATTTTATTTTTATTTATTATTATGTATTCAATATTTCAAATAATATCAGTGTATATATAACATTTATTGGATATTAAAATATTGGATATATAATTATAATGAATATAATAATCAAATGAATTTATGTTAATAATTAATATATAATTGAATTTATAATAGTTATGTGCATATACAGTGGGGAAAAAAAGTATTTAGTCAGCCACCAATTGTGCAATATTTACAGTCATTTGTTTTTATTATATTAATTATGATGTATTAATATCAGCATATATACAATTCAGTATTATAAGAAATATAATTATAATAAATGTAATAAGTTCATTTATAATAATTAATAAAAAATATAACCGGCACACACACACACAGAGATAGATAGATAGATAGATAGATAGATAGATAGATATTTGAAGGATAATCACGTACTCTTTCTTGTCCAGTTTTTCGCCTGAGTTGTGCCCTACCTCGACGGCCTCATTTTGGGGAGGTGTCAGTAAAAGATCTGCATCCCGGAGGCACGGCCCATTTCCAGTGTCACATGGGATACCACCTGCAGGGGGATGCCACACTCATGTGTCTCAATGCCTCGCTGCCCGTGTGGAGCCAACATGAGCCAAGCTGCAGAGGTGACGTTCATGTTAGTAAATACATTAACTAACATTAACTAATGGAACCTTATTGTAAAGTGTTACCAATTACATTTTACAATATGTTCACATAGAAAAAATGAAATAATATTTTACAATTTTTTACTGTATTTGTGATCAAATAGATGCAGCATTGGTGAGCAGAAGGGACATTCAAAAACATAAAAAAATCTGACCAATCCCAAACTTTTGACTGGTAGTGTATATACAATTCATTATAATAAATTATTTATTTATCTATTCATAAATAAAAATATAAATAATAAATAGAGACATATATATATACATATATTTAAAATATAATAAAATTTAATAATTTAAATAATAATAATTCATTATATAATTATTAGCATAATAATAACACATTTTCCATTATGTTCTTTTAAACTTAGTGTGGAGGGGTAATAAATAGAGACTTACTATATATACATATGTATACTTAAAACATAATAATAAAAAAATATTATTATTAAATAATACATTTCTATTATTATCATGTATACATATTAAATTTAAAATAATAATTACTTCAATAATTTCCACTTAATTTTATTTTTTATTATTTTCTTTAATTATTATTCATTTTAAAAAGTGAATCATGAACCTTACTGTTAGTGACGCATTTTCCATTATGTTCTCTTTAAGCTTTGTGTGGAGGGGTTGTAAAAAACGTCACGGTTGGCCGGGTGCTGTCCCCCTCACCCCATTCGGGCCCTAACAGCACCCTGGACCGCAGCTGCTCTTGGTCCCTGGAGGCTCCTAACGGCCAAAGGCTGCACCTGCATTTGGAGAGAATGGTGTTAGGCCCGACAGACAGGTAAATGCATGTGTCATTTAAATCAATGCATGCTTTTTATATGTATATAAGAGACTCAGGCCTTCTCCCATGATACAGGCTGGTCTTATGGAGCGGCCTTGATGCAGGTTCGGTGGTCCTGTTTGATTCCGGGCATGGTGGTCCCATCCCCTTTGAAGGAGTGATCAGCGAAGGTCCGGCTGTTCGGGTCCAGTTTATAACAGACCAACCTAACAGTCACAACACTGGATTCAATATACGCTATGAAGGTAGGTCACACCAGATATGTTGGGCAAACACATCAGACTGAATGTATATCTGCCTGTATTTGGACATTATAAACTCTGATACATAAAATATTAAATCAGGACGGTAAAGGAAAGGAAAACTGTATTTAAATTGCTTAATGTTTTAAGATACAAATACTTTTTTTTTTTTTAAGCAAAAATAATATGTTTAATGTTTTGGGAAAAATAACTTTATTATTGTACAAAACAAATAAACGTAATGTTTACACAATAATTAAAGTTTACTTTAAACATGCATAATTTGACACATATAAAATTAGGCAATTTGTCTCCTGTATTTTGAGAGACACATCTCTGTACTGAAAAAGTAAATAGTAGTAAATATTTCAGTACTTTATGCATCACCACTTTCATCAGCTATTTTGAATTTTGTTGTCATAAATAAATAAATAAATACAATCAAGAAGATAGTGATATGTAAACATGTAACATCACAACCTGAATGTTTAAAAAAGCTGGAGAAAAACTGTAGTAGACATCATACATCAGAGGGTTAAGTAACACTTAAAAATCTGTACATTTCAGTGCATTAGATCAAATATATACAGTTTTTCCAGTTACTATGAACAAACTGCTCTCAGGAACATGTTCGACTAACATTTGACAACTGAAAATCATTTAAAACCTACAATAAATGTTATGTTTTGCTTTAAAAGTGTGCTATCTTTCTTTAAACAAATACAATTGGTTTGATATTGTATCTTTTATATATTATATCTCATGCAATGACATTTGTAAATTTTTAAGTATAGCTAATCCTGCTAAACATGTTTCTCTGGATTTCGTTCGTTACTTTAGCTAACTGCATCCTCCTAAAAAAATTAATAGATCAATTCTCTATGCTCTCATTATCCCTTAATCCCTTCCTGTCCTAGCTTTTACTATTTTGAACGATCACTGAAAACTTGTATAACTGGCACTTCTTGTGTTTATTGCCATCTTATGATGAATCACTTGTATTACGCAACTGTAAGTCGTTTCGGATAAAAGCATCTGCCAATTAAATAAATCTACATGTCTAACAGAGCTTGTTCTACTTGTTCACATTTAGCATTTGAGAAGGGCCACTGCTACGAGCCGTACATCCAAAATGGAAACTTTAGCACGACTGACCCGACTTACGGCGTGGGGACGGTGGTGCAGTTCACCTGTGACCCCGGGCACTCGCTGGAGCAGGGGCCGCCCGTCATCGAGTGCATCAACACACGAGACCCCTACTGGAACGACACAGAGCCCCTCTGCAAAGGTAGAGGATTACATTACCCTACATGCTACACAACACATCACTGCCAGACAACATTTATCCTTTGCTAAATGTCATGGGACTGGCAGATTTGAAGCTAATTAAGACGTTTTCTCTAATCATGCTATGGTAATTGCATTGAATGTTAATGGTATGTTAATATTCAGAAACAACCTTTGATCTAAGCTTTTTAAAATGTCATCTTTTTTGCTGTTAGGCTGATGAAAATTCTCACATGTCGGCCAGCTCGGCCTGATCATCAGTAGTCAATGACTTTTAGTTGTTGCCCTGTATTTAACCTTGTTGTAATTCATCTTTAACGGGGATAAATGAGGTTTTCTGTGACTGGCATTAGGTCGTAACAGATAACAGCTGAACGTAACGCTGGTCAACCCCAACATGGTGTGTTACACATGCTTGTTAACGCTTGGGTGCAATTAATGCAGCATACTGGAGTCTGGAGTTTAACAACCAAATGCACAGGCCACAAATCAGAGATCGTTAGCGGACAAATCTTACTGTGCTGAACATTCTGAAGGATAATTTTGACTATAATAGAATCGAATATGAAATATTAAGATGTAATTATAATAAAAATCTTTATAATAAATAAAAAAATAAAAAATAACTGTGTACACACACACACACACACACACACACACATATGTATATATATGCATATATATA